TATATATATAAAGCTTATATACTACTACGATTTATCTAGAACCTTAGTATTCCGCCCTAAATATATATTCTATTAAACCTTAAGAGACTTGTTTCACTTCTAGTACTAACTTCTCGTAATAAGAGATATTAGCCCGTAGCTAAATAGTATACGGCCCTAGAGCCTCTATTATCCTAGACTAATAGTAGACTTTACTATCTCGGGCTCCGGTTAACTAGAATTCATATTATACTTTAGCGCTATTTGATTATATACTATTAGCGACAAGACATTTTATAGAGCTTACCTACGTCCTAGCTTTAAGGACTTAAATTCAATGTACGATAGAGCTTCTTAGTATAGATTGCTACTAAATAGAAGATCTTTCCTACGTAGTATATATACCGTACGCTAACGAGACCGTTAATACTATATGTTACTACGCCCTATATCTAATATTAGCCTATCTACTATCTATAGAAATTAATATTTACTAGTTTAGTATATAACTCTAATTATATACTAATTAAGAAACTAACTAACTACCTTAAGACTCTAGGTAACGAGGTACTTAGCGGAGACTAAGGTAATATAGGCTCTTAGAGGCAGTATAAATCTAGTAAACTCTAATACGGAGGAGATAAAGATAAGGAGAAGTTACGTTAAAAGACTAGGGCGATTATATAGGCCGATACTAGAAGTATACTCTACGGTTTTTAAGATTAGTTATAGGTTAGGCTATAGAATACTACTATACTAAGTGCCTAGAGGGGGAAGTAGAAGCGACTTAATACTCGATTCGCGCTTACGCGTATATATAAAGGAAGTAGCCGAAATACAAGCTTATAGCTCGATGTCTTCTAGCCCTAGAACTATTAGTATTAAAGCAAGAGTCGCTAAGCTAGAGCGAGAACCTAGTATAATAGAAATTAGAAGGGGCATATTAATAGACCGGCTGTAAGACAACTTGCTAGGATCTTCTATATTATAGGAAAAGGTACGAGGTATAAGTAATAGAATAAGTATTAGCGGTCTAACGTCTAAGGCGTAAGAGGGCATTAGAAATACTATTATAATTAGAATAAGGCTATTAAGCTATTATAATAATATTATAACTAAGGGATAGAAAAAGCGCTTAGTATAGGAGGTTAACGCCTACTTTAGTATTAATAGAGTACCCTAAGAAGACGTAGAAGGCGGAACGGTTATCTATCTAGATAGTACCTCGAATATTAGGCTATATCTAAGGCTAAATAGGAGCCTAAGGTCCTTATAGAAGCGGCCCTACTATTTAAAGGCTACTAGGTACTATTAATATAAGAATACTAGTATCTTATAGAAGGCCGCCTTAGCGTCTTATTTAGTAGTAATCGTACCCTTACCGAAGCTACTAACCTTGTTAAAGATATCGTTAAATACAATGTAGCGGATAGATCTATATTTCCTAGGGATACTATTGTTTATAGAATAACTATAAATCTATAATAGGTCGTAAATATAGCGGAAGCCTCTATAGTACTTTAGTACTAAACCTTAGGATAGGATAATAAAGTTATACTTACTAGAACCTAGTACATTAGTAATACGGTAATATTCTGTCTTCTATACTAGAGCTAGGAAATATACCGCCTAGGTACCTCTATACCTCGAGATAATACTTTTATCTTCTCTAGATCTTTTTCTTAAGCTAGGACAAGTGTCTCTAACCCTAGGAATATCCGGTTAAGGTAATCCTTTTATCTCCCTTAGGGGTGCCTCTCGATCCTATATTATCTCTAATATTAGTAATATCGGGTTAAGTTAATCCTCTTATCTCCTCTTTAGCTTCTTCTAAGACCGGGAGATATATCTCTAACGACCGGAATATCTCGATATTATATTGTTCTTACGAGGCTATACGCCTAATAGTAGCGAGCTTATATTACTCTTAGCTTACCGCCTTTCTTAGTAGAAAAGGTCTTTAAGGCTAGAGTAAGTAAATTTATAAGAAATCGGTACGTAAACTATAAGAAAATTTATTACATTTGGTTCCTATACTATAATTTAGGATTTTATTTTATTATTCTAGGTATATAGCTCTAGCGTATATTGCTTAGCGTCGATTAGTTAAGGGATATATCTCGGTTTAAATACTAGCTTATAGGAATATAGGAATAAGTATCGGGGTTCTTAGAAGATAGTATCGCTACTAAGTTAGTATAGCTTTACCTATCTTTGCCGCCTAATACCTATCCTTAATCGCCTTCCTTCGCTATAACGGAGAGAATAGCGGCGGCTAGCTAGGAAACCGAGTTAACCGACCGCCGCCTATACTAATATAGAGTCGTCGCCGCGTATTACCTATAGATACGCCTATAATTCTAGCCGAGGGATCTATATCTCGCGGTAATAGCCTATTCGTTACTAGGGATACTCCTTAAAGGGAGGCAAATAGAGATTATAATAACGAGAATAGCTATACTAGTATAGAGAAAGACAATTATACTAAACGCGATAAGAATAAAAATAGCTATAATAGCGACGAGAAAAAGAAGATAAATAAAGATAGCTAAAATTATAATAGAAACGAGAATAAGAGTTAGAATAGCTATAGTAGTAATAAGTGTAACAATAGTATTAGCGAAGAAGCTAGAGAGGGAAATAGTAGTAGCTAAGGTAAGGCAGTTAGAGAAGGCGAGGGCTACGATACTATAGTAGAGCCCGAGGTATCTACGGAGCTTCTAAAACAATATAGCCTACGAGAAAAGTTTAATTAGCGTAAGATGTGCTTCCCGCCTGGCTTTAATATCTTAGTTACTATTACTAATTCTATAACTAAGCTACCTACTTCGAAAAGCGGTACGTAGCGGTAGTATAACTATACTTAGAGGTATCTACCTAACTCTAAAGTCTTTTAATCCAAGAAGGCCTACGATAGGGTCTACGAAATTAATCCTGCTTCGCTTACTCGCTAGGGAGCGAACGAGATATAGTAGAGAAGGCAGCGTAATCCTATAAGATAGTACTCTACTCTACTAGAAGATCTCTCTTTAGACTAGGAGGATTCCCTTCGGCTACGGTATAGCGTCCTATAGTATATTAAGTACTAGCTCTTAATATAGCGAGTATAGTTTTTAGAATACCTAAAAGATAGAATAAAGCTATTCCTAAAATTCTCTACGGTATAATTAATGCCTCGAAAGGGTTACTCGTAACGCTATAACTTACTTATTCGATAGAGTCCTGTTTATAAACTTAATCTAAGCCTAACCTGAGATAACGCCTACTAAGTCGACCTATAGAATAGTAATCGAGTCTGTCGATATATCGCTAGAGACTTTGCCTTAGTCTCTATCGAAGATACTAAAGCGTCGCCTATTCGAACTTAAAGATATAAAGATTAACTCCTAAGCGAGATAGATAGAACGGTCTTTCTACTAGGGTAGTTTAGGGAATTTAGCGATAGCTTCTATTCGCTAGGGTACCTAGTAGCCCTAACCCTTAGCTACGTAAGCTAAGACGCGCTAAGAGTATATATCGTACTATATTCTTTCTCTTAGCGTCCTCCCCTTAGCGCTCATATACTTTCTTTTAAAGCCTAATATTAGTATTCGGAGTTCCTATTCTAGGGATAGGTATATTAGTATATCGCCTAATAAAGTACTTATATACGCGCCGCTTATTATTCTCCCCGGTTACTAGGAGGACTACGCCTCGATAGGCTAGTAAATATATACGTAAATATTAAAGTACTACCTAACGAAAGACTCGAATTCGAGTAGCCTACTATTCTCTACCGGTTACTACTAGTAATCTCCCTTTAGAGGCTAGTAAATATATACTTCGTACGAGATCTCGAGAATATCTACCGCTTTATATCTATATAGCTGTTTCTTTACTAGCATTTATAGCCTAACTCCTTATAGGTCGGCTTTAGATAGAGGAAGACGAGTACTTAATATTACTACTCTCGTTCGCCGATTAGATTATCGCTCTCCCGCGAAATATCTTAATAATACTATAACCTACTTAAGAACTTAACCTATAATTAAACCGTTATATTACGAAGTATATACTCGAGGTTATTAGTTTTAAAGGTATAGAACTCGTAGAATATCCGCTTAATTTCCTTACCTCTACTCGACTTACTAATCTCTACTAAGCTATTCGGTATCTATTAGCTACTATAGCTATCTATAGGCGCCTATAGAATCTTAATTATTAAAGGAGGGTATTTATATACTCCTTATTACTCTCTCGTTCTCGAACTTACGATAATATTCTTCGTCGATCGTATAGACTAGTCGCTATAATACCTAAGATCTACTCTCCTAGTATATTACGAATATTTATACTAGTTTTACGTAGCTTAAGTATAGTAGTTACGAATCGTCTAAGTAGGAGAAAAGTAGCCTAACTTCTAGAGTAGTATACTACGTTATTTTCTTTATCTTCCCGGCGATATATCTGCCCTAATAATATTTATACTCCTCGTATATTAAGGGTATATTCTAATTTCTTCGCTACCTAATATTAAGGGTAATATCGGTATAGGAAGTAGGTGTAGTATTAATAACTAAAGAGTATAACTAATCTAGTATAAGGTATTAGCTAGTACTCTAATTAACCTTATAGTAATTATTGTCTCGATTAACTCCTAAGCTACACATTTATTACAAACCGATAATATCTATTAGTTCTCTATACCTAAAGACCTATCTTACTTAAGACGTTATAATAAACCTCGTACTAACGCTTTAAGTAGACGATATCTTCTTCGACCTACCTACTCCTTAATTTACGAGCTATTCGGATTACGAGAATATTACTAATCTACGGCAATGCTATTACCTATAGCGAGTAAGTAGGTATTCTACTTTAATCTTAGCGAAGGTATTATAAGGACTATTAAAAAGATCTATAAAATAACGCGTATTAAGAGGGTTATAGGAGTAAAGAAAAACGTTACTATTAGAAGCTAATTACCGACCTTACTTAATCTAATAAAGATAAGGTCTAAGAACAAAACACCTTCGACATCCCTACCACTTGGCTAGGCAACGCATAGAAGCCAGGCGGGGAGATTTAGTGACTCCTTCGCGGAAAACAGCACCTTAGGGGTGCGTTATCTGCACCAACTGCGCCACTACAGACACCAAATGCCAGTTCGCCTACAGATGGTAACAAAACATTGCCACAGCGCCGCGCGTCAATTCTGGTACGGCATCAAGGACTCGATTTCATGTCAATGTCACACTACAGCATCAGCGACACAAATCACTATCGTCACAAAGCCTCTCGTCCTTGCCACGCTGGAGCACCAGCAACACCACTTTAGACACCATCTTCATCCGTTGGCGTAAGTTCCACAGCATTATTCTTGTTGAGTTTGTGGGACGATTTAGGAATGATTTTGGGGCTCCCTCGGGGAGGCAAACATGGCAAACGTTCGACATTCCAATGTGGCAGTTCTGAACCAAACGTATGAATGAATGTCTGGTATACATCCACCGGAGCAAGGACAGGCAGGACTCGATCGAGTGATGTCCCACGTTGAACAGTGAGCTGAAGAACTCGACTTCTGCATCCAGCGGACTGTTTGCATTCCAGTGCTTGCCCAGGTAGCCATTCACACTGGGGAACCAAGACTGAGCTGCCCAGCATGAGTGGAATGACTGCGAATGATGGACGCATTTAGGCAGCTGAGATGAAATTACTGGGACCATTTGTGCATGCGTCGAAGCCTGCATGCACTGCGACCATGGCAAAATGTGCTCTCGGGGCTGCTCGTGGCCATTTTCATGCTGCGAATGCTGGCTATGGTCGATATCGCGTGTGCCTTGGAAGGTCGTGACCTCGTGAAAGGTCAATGGGCGGGTAGTGTGCGAGACCTGTGGCTTGATGCTCGGTTGTCACGAAATACGTGACAATTGTCGCTCCTCGAGGATTCCAGCACGGCAAAAAATATAAGAATGTCAAGCAAGAAGCCTCTTCTTTCAGCAATGGCTAGAATCGCTCTTGCGGTGGGAGGCTGTTACGGATATAGGGAAGGATGACAACGTGCATAACAGAGGCAGCAGCCATATCGTCAAATGAAAGCTCGGCTAAGAGGCCCCATTTCATGACCTCTACCGTAATGTGAATGCATCTAGGCAGAAGTTCAGCACTTGGGATGGGACGCCTAGACAAGCTGGATTGGATAATCTGCCCCAACTACAGCGAGGAAGTATCAGCCACGCCGGACCCATGAATGATTCCTGCTAAGCAGAGTCGAGAGTTTTTGAACTCCTGGCCTAGATTCTATAGAACAGTGGTGATGTCTAGAAAAGAGAAGTGAGGTTCCGCGCCTCGAGTCTGGATCAGCACTGAGAGGACGTGTGGTGGCGCTTTCGATGTACAGCTCCACTGGAAGTGCCGGGTATTGACAGTTGTGAGGTCTCATCTGAGTGGAGAGTGCAGTCAGTTCTAGAAATACAATTCGCACGGATGTCTAGCCCAGAGAAAATGGCAAAGCTCTCCTTCACATATAACACGGTCTCAAGCTTACAAAATTGCGGCACGGCTTAGAACTTGGGTGTCACGATACTGCTGATAATCGAACGCCAAAAACTCGAACAACCAGCCGCGAAATGGGATGGTACCCTACTGTCTAATACTGATAGTATTGTCTTTTGACTCAACCTGTTTTGGCGTGCTTCAATCAAGCATAGCAAAGCTCAGAGCTTCAGGTTCCGCGATCTGAGTGACAACCAAACGGCAGTTGTTACCAATATCGTAACAACTATGACCAGCCTTCCCGATAAGAATAGCCCTCTCATTGACATTCTGCTGTATGCAAGCAGTCTGACAACTCTATTCATCATTCACTGTGCCTTTCATATGCGAGAAGGTGTACTAAGTTTGGATGCCACCGAAGCTCGATTGTCACGACCTACCTTCACCGCAAACCGTCGGTTGTCACTGAAATCGTAACAACCGAGCACTCAGCTAACACCCGTTGCAGTTCAAAGCGGGGACACTTCTCTCACTTCTCTACAAAACTGTCTTCCCTCTCCCTCTTCCACTACGCTATGTGGGATTCACAACATTACGACATCACGATCCACTCAGCGCGTAGACTACAGCCAACGAAGCGCACACAGTCAGTGGCGCGACGACATCAAACAGCGTGACGCCTCGCGACATTGCAGACACAAGAAGCCCGGTGCACCTTACATTCGTGCATCAATGAGCTATTGAGAAGAGGCAGCATAGCAGAAGATGACATTCAGACTCTTTTGTGCAAGAGACGAGGGCATTCACGGCTACCTCAAAAGAAAGCGCCATCTTCTACGAGCGCGCCAGGCATCCCAAAAATCCCAGAACAGTCTACGTATGCCATCCATTCCAGCTTCTCGAGGTAATTGTCGAGCCGACGGCAGCAGTCCAAACCCGAGTGATGTGATTGTAGAGAGGAATGTGACGTGAATCGGATACGAACCAGACAACGAGAAGCGCGCAGAAAATTCCGCATTGGAGCATTCAGGGTGCTTCTCTCCCACCTGGCCGACTGAAGCAGAAAATTCCGCATAGGAGCATTCAGGTTGCTTCTCCCCCACCTGGCCGACTAAAGCAGTTCAAATCCAAGGGATGTGGTTGCGAGGAGGAATGGCACGCCAAGAGAACGGTAAACATAGAACGAGAAGGGCGCAGATGATTCAGCATGAAAGCGTTCAGCTTGCTCCCGAAGCAGTGATGGACATGGTCTCGGGCCGTCTACGCCCAAGCATGGGGTTCTGATCCCGAGGGAATCACTACTACAAAGAACTTATGATGATTGGCAAGACCCAGGGAAGGAGATTGGCCGTATTGGCATAGTCAGAGATGTCTTGTTCCTGCCCGTTTCATCATCAATGTTCATGAAATTCCACTCACTTGGCTCCACGAGTAGTACCATTTTTCTCTCAATGGACATCCGACATGCATCGAAGCGTGATCTTGCGTTCACCCGGCTGATAACAAACCGTCATGCAAGCCCAAGGTCTTCATGAACGTCGACACATAAAAAAGCAGGCACGCGAGACGAGAAACAACTCACGATAGCGACTCCCCACGACATGTATTAGAATGCACAAACCTACATCTTCCAAGTAGACCATCCACAAACAAAACTCTGGGCCCCAAGAGAGGACGTCCTGCACAGCCAAGTTTTTGCTTCCCTTGTGAAATGATGATCATTTCATCAATTTCCTGATTCCAGTCACCATGCCAATAGCTGACGCAGATCATGGGGCTGTGAAGCACGCCTACGTAGAATGGTAAGACTTGGAGGACTGCCATTGAGTAGCAGGCGACAAAACACCAGAAGCCATAGAGTGCGTCACGCATACCAACCATCCCACCTCCTTCATGAAACAGCAATCCTTTCATCAATTCCGATTCCCTACTCACAACCACTACCCCACTCCCCATCGCCAATCTCTCAAAGAAAAAAGAAAGGTACCACGACAGACCCCAGGCACCACGACACCAAAAGCTACAGCTCTTAAGTTTTTGAACATGTCAGCAGCTGCCCTTTTCCGCCTGACCTCTCTCCCATATGCTGGAGGTCTCGAAACCGGAAACCTCATCCTGCGCAGCACCCTCCACCCACCCCAAACAACATCCAAAGACAACGAGGAAAGAGGGAACGTACGGGTTTCTGACAATCCACATACTAAGATTCCAGTCGACGTGGCGAGCTGAGAGAGACACATGATGCAGCGCGCCCAAGATCATACAATACCGAGTAATTCCAACAACTGTGCAGTAGAGACATATACCATAACATGCGCGAACGTGTGTGATCTCATGCTTCAAGGCAAATTGCCATTGTCACGCCATGAGGTGCCACTCAGCACCGAAAGATGTCCCATGGCCTTCATCTCGCGAGCCTGGCGTTGTCCTCCACCCCAATTGCCACGCAAATTGTCATGCCTCACGAGGTGCCACTCTTCACCCAAAGCTCTATCTCAGCCTGCTTTCTCTCAGCTTTGTCTCGCAGCGCCTGCACTCTGCCCAACTCGTCCTGTAGCCCGGCATTGTAGCAAGCGAGATCGTCTCGGAGGTAGGCCAGGGCTTTTTGATGGTTGGATCGAGGTGGCGCACCGCTTACCAAGTCCACCTGTGCAGTGGTGTCGCTCACGAGCCCCATGATGAGTTCTCGGTGGCTGTTGTCATGATTCATCGTTTTCAGGATGTCTTGTGCGTCGCGGAGCTTCTTCTCTGCGTCGTCCTTCTGCTCCCTATCTTTTGCGACATCCCTGTCTCGGACGGCGTGGAACCACTGGACGGCGGTATGACGAATCTCCGTAGTGGTAGCGATGTATGTAGAAAGGTGCTCCGCATGTTTGGTGTAGGCATCCACATGGGCGGCAATCTCGGTATTCCAGCGAAGCATGTGCGACTGTAGGCTGAATTCAATCTGGGTCAGAATCGGAGACGTGGCTGATGGTTCGGATATCGGACTGTCGAGTGCGACGTTGGGATTGACAGGCGGTAATGTCTTCAGCAGCCGTTCCACATTCCTACTGCGTGCTTCTTGGCAAGGCTCGGAAGGGCTTGTTTCATGCAAGGAGTTGGCGAGTCGCGCGGCACTCCCCATTGCATCAGCACACACGGATGCTGCCAGGACACGCGACGATCCTTCATCTGGGTTGATGGTCTTGGTGAGTTGCAAGAGGGCTGCCGTCGCAAGTACGTACGGCCAGGTGTCGTGCGAGTATACGTCGACGCGTACTTCATTCGTCATAACGTGCACTTCGTTGGTCGTGCTCTCGATGTCGAGATTGATGGATTGCAGGACTTGTTCAAGGGCACGTTGCGTATAGCTCTCGGCATCTTCTCTTTCCATCGCAAGCTCGTGTGAGCACACGGATAGATAATGCGACCCGTCGCTCCCTGTACGACATGTGGTCAAGAACCAGCCAGATGTCCCCGACGCAATCCCACTCGACACAATGAAGACATGTGCGTCGCCATCTCTGGTGCCGCGAAGCACAGCTGCAGCCGGTGGGCTTGGCTGGGCGACAGTCGAAGCATGGGCTGGCGGCAGGCACGCGTCGGCGGCGGCAGCAGTTGAGAAGAGGTTGAATGCGGCTTGAATCGTCGCAGCGATGCTTTCGGAACTCGTGCCATCGCTCATCGTGTCATCGGCGAGGGAGCCAGTGCGGGCGCGTTTGCGGGGGTTGGCAGTCTCCTTTGCCGACGATTGGGAGACCGAGCGTCTGGTTGCCGGTCGAGAAGGTTTCACTAATGCCAGTTGTTGATTGTGATTGTACATGCCGCAAGTCTGTAGATGTGAATCGAAGTCAGGAAGTGGCAGTGGCAGCGGAGATGACGATGCTGTGAAGTCAGAGCGTGGGGAGGGATGACTGCTGAAGGTGTTGCCTGGCTTGGCGGCACCTGCTCCTGCACGGTAAAAGAGGAAGCTACCGCGATCACCATTGAAAGTTTCGTATGCATCGTGGTCCGGATGTCTGGAGTCAATGCGGTGCTCATCGTCGTCGTCATCGCTGCTGTCGTATCCACAGTGGTCCATAGGTTGCGCAAACATCGGACCTCGGGGCTGTTCGATGGCGGGAGAGCAGTCGGCGGCGCGAGACGCTGGCCGTAATGGAGATTGCATCCCGCCGTTATGCAGAAAATCGGCTTGAAATATGTTCTCGAACTGGCCTGACGAGATGGCGTTGCCGGCAGTTTCCTGCATGGAGTCGTGCTGAATCGTGCAGTCCAAACCCATCACGCGCCGACAACCATGACTACAACCTTCTCTTCGTCGGTTCTCTTGTCCACCATCTGACGAATCCTTTGATGCCCCAGTGTCATTCTCATCTGCAGGAGGTGTCCCATCATCGGCATGGACCGCATGAGATGCATCCTCGCCGTTCTCGCCTGAGGGAGGCAGTCCGATCCCGTCCTCATCCGCAGGAGATGCTCCTTCATCGTTCCCATCGATAGAAGATGCTGCCCCATCCTCTTCTCCCTCCAGTGTAGATTCAGCACACTCTCCATGGCTTCCTCCATCTGCTGAATCTTTCGATGGCCCAGCATCACTCTCATCTGTATGTGCATCCTCGTCATTCACATGCGGAGATGCTTGCTCGTTGTTCCCACCCGCAGAAGATGCTTGCTCGTTGTTCTGATCCGCGGGAGATGCTGCCGCATCCTTCTCTCCCTCCATTGAAGGTTTAGCACGCTTTCTTGGAGCAACCTGTATCTCATCACCACTGTCGCCAGTGAGCGGCCTGGCAGAAACAGCCGTCTTGTTCGCGGCTCTTTTCTTCTTGTTCCCAGCCCTTCTTCGCAGGGTTGCGCAATGGGAGCAGTCCTGATCCTTGCATATTTTCGGAAGCGCATACTCCTCCGCATCCCATGGGATCCAAGATTTCGTTCGCGACACTCTGAACCCTTTCTTAAGGACAAGACGCTCGTTTTGCCCTTCCCGTAGCGCGCTCAACGCTTCGGAAAGCGTGACTTGGTGTTGCGATATTGTATTCAAGGCCTCAATGAACTTGGCGCTCTGCATCCCATCTCGTCCAAAAAGTGCGAAGGCTGTACAGGCACGAAGATTCTACCTTCCCTTGCGAGTACAACTCTTCATGAACTTTGCAGCATATTCGGGGATGATCGTGTACACGAGGTGATCCAGTGTGTCGAGGTGCTGAGAATCGATAACTGAATCGAGCTGTGAAGTGACGGGCGCATCAACATCGTCGGCATAGGAGTGCCAGGCCGCGCTGTATTCGTCCAGGACAGAAGGCCCGTCGAGGCTGGCTACAATCTGGCCGGCAGCATCGTGACAGCTTGCAAGTTTTTGTGCCGCATCCATGAAGCGAACATTGCTGGGGGTGGTTTTGAGTCGTGCCATCCGATTGTGAAGCGGCGGGAGAGGAGGAGAGTCGAAGCGCGGTGGGGAGACGTCGGCGGTTGGTGTGTGCGCGCGAAGGGTCGCGTTGCGAGAGTGACTGACGCAACCTGAGTTACCGAGATTGCCGGTTGTCACGGAACTCGTAACATTCAAGACCTAACGGAAGCTGCAACGAATACCGGAAAGCACTGACCGAGAACACCCTCACGAAACTCACGAAGCAACGTCGGGTACAATTGCAGATCAGCAGTACGGCAGCTAGAAATGCAGCCTTGCGCTGATATCTACTCTTCACGACTTCACGACCTTCGCAGATACGTCTACATTCTCCATGCGCTAAGGTCATCTTTACTTCGACTGCACATGTGGGAATCCAGTTCTTCGCGGCTGCGATCGGCGGATTTGCTTTTCTTGGGGGCTGAAATCGGTTTCTCCCGCCTCGCAGTGACATGGCTTGAGCTCACCGTATCACATCGCCCGCAGCAATGCCTCCATCCACGACCAAGACCGAGACCGATATCAACCATAGCATCACGAAGCGTAGAAAAGATGAAGCGGCCACCTTCAGGCTGTGGACAGAACCCGCGCCCTCCCAGTACACCCTTGCAGCGAAGACGGCGAGATGCAGATGCCTCCGAAAGCACCCAGGGCGCAGTGAGGATCCCAAACTGAAGCAAAGCGCCATTCCGAGCGACAGCGTCGAAGCTGCGGGAATTGGGAGCTCTACTGCGACCGCGACCAAGGGCAAGAGAAAAGAAAAGTTGGTAGAGGCAAAGGGCGCGGAAGCGGACAGGTAGGAGCGTAGCACGGCGGAGGCGGTAGCAAAAGCATAGAAGGGCAAGATCTCACATGAATGCGAAGAGCATATGTTTGCGCAGATCGTCTATGGTTCTAGAGCTCCCAAGAACGTATAGGATGCGGAGTGTGTTGGGTGAACATGTTTTGGATGGACAAGGACTTCCGTCGGGCAGCAAAAGGCACAAAAGGAAGAAGAAGACGGGTAGCAGAGCGAAGGCGGCAGGAAAAGGCGCAGATCGGAAGACAAGACCTCTGAACAAGAGGATACAGAGAGGTTGGAGCAGTACCGCGCAGCGGAGCCATGCAGTCAACCGGAGTTGAGCTCCTATGCACGGAGCGGCAAGCCTTGTTCTCGAGTAATGAACTGAATCAGCCGAATGCACTTTCGGACGCCTTCGAGCGCTGACCTGATCATGATTCGCGATTCTCTGTGTTTCTAGCAGCCAGCCAGTCTCACACATCCACTCGTAGAAAATGAGCAAAATTCGTGTTTCTCCTTGGATTGCTAGGCCCAAAACTTCGCCAAGAGCAATGTTTCTGCAAGGCTTGTAAAATCTTAGAATGAATCGGCCGCGATACCAGCGACTCGCTTTACGCAGTGCCATTTCACGAAGTGGTGGGTGAATGGCAGCCAAGGTAGGCTGTTTACAGGCGCCTCTTTGACTGAACTCTGCGGGGAACAGTCCGGAATCACTCCACATTCTGTGCTTTCTCTGGAGTCAAAAAGGTGTGTACTGAATTTTCTATGCAAGGGAAAGTTGAAGGATTCTTTTGTGACAACCAAGCCTCAAGCTTCCTCCGCGCTGGCTTCCAGCCGTCGGGGGTTCAAGCGCCAAGCCACGCCTCGAATCCCGAGGCCAGAGGTTGAACGATCAAACAACACGGCATTTGTACACGGCGAACATGGTTGCCTCTCAATGGATAACCGCGAAGCACAACTTGTAATTCAGCCATCCGCGCCCAGTCATTTTCATTCTGTGACAATCAAGCGCCAAGTCCAAATCCCGAGCCTGGCCAATGCGCAGCACCTCGCGTCGCACTCCGATGACCGCTGCGAATGTTTGCCCGCAATACCTCCAACAACACGGCAATGTCTCATCTACCGCTTCCTAGAGCGAAGACATTTCACGCCTCTAGAATCGCACGACCGCATGACTCGCAAGATCCTACGACAGTACGACAGCACGAAGCACGAAGCACGAAGCACGAAGCACGAAGCACGAAGCACGAAGCACGAAGCACGAAGCACGAAGCACGAAGCACGATCGCGTAAGCACGACCGCACGAGCACGCCCGCAGGATGCAGCGTATCACTGTGGTCAAGCAATATGCGAGGTTTTGAAGGGAAGAGTTGCGAACTTGTCCGGTGCACGTTCATCTCCGAAAGCCCCTCGTTTATGTTCCAATTCGATTTCAAGACAGCGAGCTTCGCTTCGACTTCGCAAGCTCGCATCTTGCTTTGCTCTGCATCTGAGGACCGAGATAGAACAAAGAACGAAAGGAGGTGGGTTCATATCAGCGCGAGTTGGTCGGACGTTACTTGCTACGGAATTGGTTCTTCCTACGTGCATGATTGGCCAAGTCTCTATTCGTTATTGGGTAGGTATCGCATTCTCCTCCTTCATTCTCGGCTTCTATTCCGGATTGACGAGGATGTCGGCCTTCAAGCCACCCTCTTCCATTGGCGCCAAACCACGGTGAGCTGCTCGTCAATCTCGACAATTTCTAGCTTCCGCCGTGAGCTCGATTACCCATTCTGCCCACATTCGCCGTTAACTTCTTCAAACTCATCCGTCCAGCAGCAGTGGACTTTCGAGCTGCTAACAGCTCCGTAGGGGGGAAAGCAACTCGGGTCGTGCTGGAGTGCTAGCGGAGAGAACGAAGTTCCCCATAGTTTCTGGCAATGAATCAAGCATAACCGAACCACACGGCGGCCCAGCACCAATGTTAGACTGGAATTGTTCATGCTTGCCGAGCACTTCGACGAGGAATTCTCAGCAACAGATGCCCGAGAGTAAGTAGGCCTCGGTAAAGAAAGGCGAAAGGAGACGCAACCGCTAGCAGGACTTCCACTACCCACCCAAGTCGTCGTATAGGTAACGCTCGTGAAAGCCGATCAACCAAATCATCGCCCCGAGATGAGCGCCATACGATCAGAAAACCTGACTCAGCTGACGTCTAGTGATTGCTATCTTTATGACTGCAAAACGTCGTCGTACTAACTGCTGCAGACACCTCCGGCAAACTCAAGCGAGATATACATACATGGACACCGATGCTCACTCAGCGAACTCCTCAGTCGCCTTGCAACATCGGTTGGGCAAATCACGCACATGCAGGCAGCAGCCGATCTAGCACTTCTGCTCAACTGTGGAGCCAACAGCCGTTTTAGCACTTCTGCTCAACTGTGCGGGCAGAGTCCAATTCCACATTAACTGTGCAGGCGACAGCCGATGCAGCACTCTTGGGCAACTGTGCAGGCTACAGCCAACTCAGCACACCTTTGGTCAACTGTGCAGGCAACAGCCGATTCAGCACTCCTGGCTCACTGTGCCAACAGTGTGGTGTCCTGTGACCAGCGCCACGCCGACCGCACCAGGGATCGAGTTGCTGGGCTCCGACAAGAGGCAGGCGATGCAAAGCAAAGGGCCGCGGACGGCTGCGTCGCCCAGATCACTGTCTTCTTTCATGAATTCGAGGCGCTCAGCACCAATGCGGCTGTTCATGTGGGAGCCAAGGACAATGTCGCTTCGTCTACGCCGACCGTCCGCCTGCAAATGCAAGTGACCCCCAGACGATAAGTGCTGCGAAGGAGCTTGGGGAAAAGAGGCTTGCAGCCGGAGACGCGCCATCTCCGACGAAGACACCTGGGCTGGCGCAACGGCCGCGCCTGACAAGTGGCGACTGCCACCATCGTCAGCACGAGCATAGAAACCACCATGCAGTTCATCACCATCATTGCATATGCGGTGAAGGCGGAGTGAGTGGAGACCACGAGGTGCATAATGTCGAGGGACAATGCCACACCTACACCTGTAAGATGAGCGTGAGTTGTCCAGACGTGCGGTCGATCAGGAATCAGGAATGCAGCTGCAGTTGCTGCAGTGATGTTCTTGGAAGCTGTGATTGATGCCCCGGAAGAACAAAGTCGATGCCCGACCACAGATGACCAAGTTCGTTCGCTCCACCAATGAGACGGAGGATTGGTGAGAGATGGGCACATCGTTCGAAGTCGATGATCCGCAAGTGGTGCTACCTATGGCGCGGCCAGAGGCAAATGGCGTCTGCCTCCTCACGATGCGTGTCTAGCACTGGGTTTTAGTGACCTCCAGGTTACGGTTATACCTCAGCTCGATCCAGCGAACTCTGACGTGATGGAGTACGAGACCTTTGATCCAACTGGATCCCATTTCTCTCGCAAGCATATCCCACCCGCCCTTCGGAGGTCGATGAAACGGTACACACTACACCGCAACCCCGGGGGCAAGAAACCTTTCCCTGCAACTACCTCTGCTCATATCCTCTGCGCAAACCACCATAGCGGTGCCACGACTATCTAGCGACTTGTAGGGCAAGCGACAAGGACGTCTCCCAGGGCGAGATTTCCACAACGCAATGCTGGTTACGACCTGGTGAGACGCCATTGACGGTGTCACGTTATAGAGCTCTTGACAAGCAGGAAATGCGTCTGTACTAGGAGCCGAGTCCGAGGGTGAAATCTCGGACGCAATATGTTGTCGCGCACGGCATGATATGCAAAGGAGATCGAATGGCATGACGAATCTCTCATCGCGTACCTTCAGCATCGTGCAGAACTACCGATACTGAACAAAGTTTGCTGACCCTTTCTCCGTCGCTCTATCTTCACTTTAACTCAGCCCAAATGCGGGCCTTCTTGTCTTTGCTGCTCCAGAGAACAACTTCCGTGTGTCATCGAGACTTACCAGCTGTGGTACAACTGCAAGGCCTTCAACTTCCTTGTTTACCAACCGAACATGGAGATGAGCACACGGCGTTGGACATACGTTCACTCCCAACGAGGTGCCGGGCGAGTGGAATTTTCTTGCAGAACGCACGGAGCATTTATAAGCTTCAAAAGGCACCTTCGACAGAGCGGCATGCCCTGATTCTGCGACGAGGCGCCCGAAGATGCGAGATTCGAATCCGCCTACGGAAGCAGGGATCACTTATATGCTACAGCGTACAGGCTCGTCGGATTTGGAGCGCCCCTGAGCAGCTTGTGCGTCTTTTGCATGCCTTCATGCTCGATCGCCACATCGGAAGAGACGACTCCGTTCACAGACGCAGGGAACATTCATACACTTCAGAGCGCCGCCTCAGCAGATCCCACTCGAAACCAAGAGCGGCACCAAGCACCTTATACGCGTTTGGTACGCCCAAATTCTTGATGGAGATGCCGGGCGAGGTGAATTCGCTCACAAAAGCAGGAACAATTCATATACTCCCTTATACAGTCTCATGTGATCCCTCCTGCTTGGAAGCCGAGATCTCGTTCATGTTCTTGAGTGCAGCCCCATCAGATCCCATTTGAAAGCAGAGATCCCATCCATGCTCTTGAATGCCGCCTTGTTGGGTACTATTCAGGTCCAGAGTGGCGGTGAGCAGCCTGTGCGATGGCTTTGGCGGCGGTCGAATGTTTCACCGGATCCATGCGGGAACCGGGGAGGCCTCACTGATTGCTACCTCTGCATTATCTCTCCTTTTGAACCACGGGACGTATCACTGTCCTCCGGAACGTGCGGCGGTACTTGCGGCGACGACAAATGATCAAGAGTGTCTTTCGTCTGCCGGCGTGCGACAGAACAGTTCCGATGCGAACATTCACGCGACAGCACCAAACTAGGACACTCAACGCTCTGTCTTCTACGTCTCGGTGACAACCAAGCGTCAAGCCCTAACACCCTGATACCCAACTTCGCGGCAAAGCTCCTCGGTTATCACGACTTCGGGGACAATTATGCGCCAAGGTCTCGAAACATCTTCGTCGCGAAGTTTCGGCTGTTACGAGTGGAAAGTAAGAAGTTGTGATATGCCGACTAGGCACTCTACACGTCGAAAATGAAGCAGCCTAGATGTTCCCTCCTCCGTGGTTTGGTTGTCACGATTTTGATGACAACTGAGCGCCAAGCGTCCCTGCAAAGTTCGTAGGTTTCACAATCTTTCAAAGTTCGTCTGCTGTTGCAATCCCAGCGACCACCAAGCGCCATAGAGCAAGTGGCGACCAGCGAATCTGTAGGGGGAACGTTCAAAACTGGTCTCTACTGCAACACTTCGAGTCTATCTTCGTCTCGATATCGGGCATTGCAAAGTCACCTTTTTCTGCAGGTTTCCGTAGAAGGCAAGCAAGCCGCTACTAGGGCGGCTAGCGGAGGGTACCGCGAACGACATGCCGCAGACAACGAGTGACATGCTAGCAGTTCACAGCGATAAAGGGTTCGATAAGTCTTTACAGCCGATAAAGAAGATAGGGTGATCTAATTGCTATACAATCCTCCGGCCCTTATCGCGACATTCGATACAGATTCTAGAATAAGAGAGGCCCTAGACACGCTAATACTAAAGGGATTCGAGGCTTTAGGAATAGAATGTCCTTAAGCCTAACTCCCTTAAACTTAAGCTAAAGAGAAAAGCAAGCGAAGCAAGCGAAGCAAGCGAAGCATATATAAGATTTATATATACTTAGGGCATCTCTATAGTTATACTATCGCTCTGCGGCTTAGAGAGGTATTAGGAAGGGATCGGTAAAGAAAGTCAATATAATAGCCGTAGTATAGGCTAATTCGTGCTTAGCTACGGTAATATATCGTAGCTTATAAAGACAAATTTCTCGCGGAAGAAGGAAAATACTATTATAGTATTATCTACGGCCTATAGTATCCTCCGCTCTTCGTATCTCGGTAAGATATTCTAATTCGCACTTATTACGATAATATAAGTATCGACTTTATCTTAGCTAAGGAATCCGGTAGTCTAAATTACTTTAATAACAAAAATTATAGTATTACGATAGAGATCCTAGTTATAGTAATAAGTATATACTCTACGGTAGTATAGCTACTTAATCTCTTAGTTTACTTATCCTTATACCCGCTTCTCGGTATCTAACCCTACTAATATATATATTACGACTATATAGAGATACTTTATATACCGGGGGAAGAGAGGAATTAAATATAATATAATAGCAAGTAGAGTATACGTTAGAGGATTTTTAATAGCTATATTCGCGTCTTATAAAGCTTGTCTTACGTACGCCCTAAAATCTTCTTCTTAATAGAACTATTAATAATAAGTCTTAGAATACGTACCTCGTTATCCGGATTGTTTAAGTCCTAGTACTACCTTTAGGAGTTTAAGTACCTTATTAGTTCCGGGAATATCTAGGCCTCCTAGGATGGCTAGATAGACTTCCTCCGTTAGTTCTTTAAGTAGATAGGCACTTACTATATCTATTTAGAATATAGTAAGTCCTTTGCTAGCGGCGATAGCTAGGAGAAGGCGTAGGCTTTCGAGATATATTACCGGAGGGAACGTCTTAAAGTAATCGATTCCGTAGCGTTACGTAAAGCCCTTTCCTACTAATCTCGCCTTAAAATTATTTATTTGTCCGTTCGGTAGTATTTTTACTTTAAAACCCTATTTCGGAGTAATAACGTTTATTTGCCCTTTTCCGTCCTTTAGCTTAGAATAGTCGATAATCTCGTAGGTATTATTAGCCGTTAAGGACTCGATATATTTTTTAATAGCGTCTTTCTATTATCGGGAGTAAGGGCCTTTAATAGCTTCCGTATAGGTCTCGGGTATAGGTATTTCGAAAGCCTTTCGATAGTCGACTTTTATAGCTACTAGCCCTATCTAGTCCCTAAGTCTCTTCGGTACCTTAGGGATCCTCGTAGACCTTCTTAGTCCTCCTTTGTTTATATTCGAAGCCGTAGGAGTAGTAGATAGTTCTTAAGCTATTCTTTCGTCGTCGTTATTTATACTATCTTCTTTATCTTATAGTTCTAAAGTATTAGCTTCGGCTTTAGAATCTCTCTCTATTTCCTTAGATTCTCCTTTATCTAGGAGATTAATAACGTTATCGTCGGTGTCCGTAATAGGCCGTAGGGTAGGTAGCTCTTTTCCGGATAGTAGGCTACTCTCCTTAGTCGATTCGTCGAATTTAACGCTAATATAGATCCTAATAGCGTTCGTTTTAGGATTCTAGATCCTATACTATTTCGTAGACTTCGTATATTCGACGAATATTCCTAGAAATACCGGCTTTTCTAGCTTAGCTTTCCTTTTCTTTTTAGGAATAAACGGATAGGCTAGGTAGCCGAATACCTATAAGTATTCTCCGCTAGGCTTTCTTCCGGTATAGAGCCTCTCGGGAGTTATTTCTCTTCCTTTAATAGGTAGCCTATTATATAAATAGGTAACTATATAGGCTACTTTGCCCTAAAATCGGTTAGGTAATCCGGATCCTTCTAAAGCCGCCCGTACCTTAGTTATAATAGTACGGTTTTGTCTCTCTACTATCCCGTTCTATTCTAGAGTATAGGGCGTCGTTATTTCGATTCGTAGTCCCGGGTAGGCCTTAAGAGCTTTTATAAGCTCCGAAGCGTTATCGATTCTTACGGCCTTTAGTTTCCTCCTAGTTTTAAGTTCGCCCTTATTTTTCTAAGCCTTAAAGGCTTTATATACGTCGCTTCTATAGCGAGTAAAACGGATATCTAGCTATCCCGAAGTGTCGTCTACAATCGTTAGTATATACCTATTTCTCCTTAAGGTACTATACTTATATAGACCCTAGAAATCGATATATACCCTATCTAGGTAATAATCCGCCTTTTTGGGCTCTTTTAGACTTTATCGTCTATTAGACTCTATAGTAAGATAAGTCTCGTAAGACTTATTTAACGTTAAAAGCTCCGGGACTCCTAGTAGTACTTTATATACGTTACGTTGTTTTTCGTCCCCTAGATATCCTAGGCGTCGATACTAAAGTAGCGTAGTATCTTTACTCGTAGTAGTAGCTACCTTCGAAGTCGCGATAGATCCGGATTCCTTTAAAATATAGGATCTTCTAATATATACGCCTTTAGCTAGTTCTTCGTTTCCTCTTTAAAGTATAGCCCCTTCTTTAGTAAATAGAGTCGTAATACCTCGTTCCGAGAGTTAGCTTATCGAAAGTAGGTTATACCCGATCTCGGGTACGTATATAACGTCCGGAATTGTAGTCGGAATTCCCTTAAACTAAACGAGAATTATACTAGATCCCGCGACCTTTATCGTTTTATAGTTTTTACTATTTACTAGAGTAACCTTTCCGGTTTCTTCCTTATAGTCCGTAAAGTAATTCCTATCGGTAGATATATATCTAGTATATCCGAAGACTAGGATCTAATCCCCTTTATTAGAGAGTCGAGTCGTAGAATCGATAGCCGTCTAAGCCGCGATCTTTAATTCCTCCTTATTATTCTCTTAGACTTTTCCGTTCTTTTAGTCCTATTTATACTTCCTATAGTCCCGTTTAAAGTACCCGACTTTTTAGTAATAGTAATACGTCTTTCCTTTAGCTTTATTAGGTATATTAGGCGTATTACCCTTCTTTCCGTTACTAGCCTTATCTTTTGCCGCTTCCTTAGTATATCGGGCTACTACTTTATCGCTTTTAGAAGTAGTAATAGTATATTTAACGTCCCGTAGTTGTTAAACTAGTTCCTCGTAGGAAAGAGTAGATAAACCGGCCGCCCTTAAGGCGAATATACTAGACGAATACTCTTCTCCTAAGGACGAAATAAGGACTACCCGCTTAGAGGCCTCCGAAGGGACTTCGTTTTTATCCGCGGCCTTAATATCGGTTTAGATTTATATAAGAGCTAAAGTCGTAGTATCGATATCCTTAAGAGCCTTAAAGGAGTTAAAATAAGAGAGTAGCGTCGATATCTATTCCTTTATAATTTATCGATGCCTCGCTTACTTCCTTTATTTTTTAAATTACCTCCTTAGTCGTACGTTGTCCTAGGAGGTATATACGCTTTTACCCGGCCGTAGACTTAATAAACGTAACTGCTTATACGTCTTCTTCTTTAGCTTCTCCTAGCTTTGCTAGATCTCGGCTTATAGATTCCGATATACCGTCCCTATATTTCTAAAAGCCCTATCTAGATAAATAGTCTTAAATTAAATCGATCTAGATAGGATAGTTCTCGGTAGTAAGTTACGGAATTCCCTTTACTATACCGATAGTCGTCTCGGTAGTAGATATCTTTATCGTTAGATTTCTCGTCTTATACTAGTTATATCGTTAAGATTTTAAAATCGTTTAATTTGTATTATTAGGTTCTTTTCGCCTAAAGACCGGCGTCTATAGCAGAGTAATAACCGTTATTTTATTATTTATCGAAGTTAGTCGCTTTTTTGATTTATAGAGTATTGTCGGATAAGGTTTAAGCTTACGTAAGTGGACTGCCCAATCGGATAATTCCTCGAACTTTCTCGTTTCCTTACTTACGTTCCGGGCTTATAAAGATTATAGATAAGCGGTAAACCGATAGAATTGTTTACTATTCGAATAAAGGACGTACTAGCTACTTATATACCCTACCGCTAAGAATTACAAGCTATTACTAAGCCGTAAGTAGATAATCTTTTAGCTTCCTTCTCCTTCTCTTACTTATAAATCTAACTAGCCTCGTATATTCTCGAGTATTCTAATAAAAGATATATGTTTTCGGGAACGCGTTCCTACGAGATCTTAAGTTCTAGAGACCTATCTAGGTAGCTATTATAGTAGATACGGTATATCTAACTCCTAGGCTCGGATATATCTACGAGTTATATATCTACTAAGGAGTTAGAGCAAGGCAGTTCCAATAAGTACTACCTAGCCTAGCGGCGAAATCGCCGTATAAACGTATAGCGTAAGCTCCTTAGCTAACCTCGCTTACGCTTCTTTAACTAACTACAAATCGAACCTATTACTATAGTTATTACTAGAGTCCGGTATGCGATCTATATATCCGTTAATTTAGCCGAGATATACCTCTATAGATAGCCGCTACGGTTACTACGAGAGTGCGCTAGGCAATCTATATATCTATTAAAACGGCTAGGATATAGCTCTAGTACCTTCTAAAGAGGCATAGCGCTACTATAATTATATATAAGATTGTTAGATTAATACTAATCTACTTTAGTAGGAAAGTTACAGCTAAGAATACTAGACTAGATATAACGATAGTAGAACTAGAGGAATGTGCCTATCTTAAGACGACTAGTTAATTTATTAGAGAAAGGAGCGGCGGTAAGTAGGTAATAAAGTTTAAGAGATAGCGAGAGCAAGTTAGCGCTACGTCTTAGTAGTAGTATAACTATTTCCGTATCTATATAGAATATAATAGAGAGTATTAGGTAGAAGTAGAACGGT